CTGTTCCTGGGTCATCCTGGGCCCCCTGAACCCACTTATATACCCTACAAGTACTTCTTCAGAAGGTATTTGGACCCTCCAAACCCACCCCAAACACCTTCTCTCAAACGAACACTAGCCCAAAATCTGGTGAGTCATGGTTTCCCAGCCGAGTACAGCCTTGATCATCCCTCAGAACAACTATACTTATTTTGTTTCTTTGATCTTCTTTGCCCCTCCGGCCCGGCTTGAAAGAGTTTCAGAAACCACTTGTAGCAAGGCACGGATGCTACTAGGGTGCAGCTTAGCAGGGGACAGCTGAGACGCAGTTCCATGGTCTTTCTCAAAAAAATCACCTCCTCAGTCTCCCAACACCATCTGGTTGGTGGTGTCAACTCACTTGAAACACATATTTCTGGGTTCAATATTATGGTTCAATCAAGTTTTATCATACCAAGCAAGGGTAGTTGAACCCCACAAAATCACTTGGAGACAAAAGCATCGCTGTGCTTGGCTGCTTGGTCATGCCTCTTCTGGCCTATTCAGGCTGTTGCTTGGCCATCAAAACGATCGCCCCAAGGATCATTTTCATAGAGTAAGGTAGACTGTTAATGAATGAAACCCCTCTACATAAATGAAACGGTTTCACAAATCCCACTGGTGGAGTTCTTGTTCCTTCACCTTCTACATCAAATATCATAATTATAGTCACAAGAAAAAGAACACATGACAACTGATTCGTCTACTATGTCTCTCTTTCTCTGTATCTGGACCATGATCCAGGCCGGCTCTCCCAGTTCCTTCATCTTCCTCTGGGTCCAAACATTCATGATCCATCCGTCCGTTCCTTCCGCGGCTCCCACAGTCGGCTCGGTACTCCGCCAGCAGCCGCAGATTCCGCACCGACCCCGTGGCCGCCGCCAGGTGCACGGCCGTGCGACCGACCGCGTTGCAGGCGTCCACGTCGCAGCGACGTTCCAGCAAGAGGCGCGCCACACGAGGGTCGCCGTTCCTGGGAACGCGCCCGGTGGGAGATGGTTTCTTTGAAAGATATTTATATTTGTTTTGTATGTTTTTTTGTGTAGTGTTTTTGAACATGCAAGAATTTGGCCACGTCTCTTTTTGGTGCAGTTTGGGGTATATGTAAATAGTTCATGATTTTGGGAGATGGATAAATGGATGGATGGAAGTTGATGGCGGGGGCAGGGACTTGGACTTGCCATGGCCTTCAGTTTTGATATCTGAATCTTCGGCTTGTGTCCACAGGTGGCTTTTTGGTGCGACCTTGGAACTTTGTGTCTCAGTGAAGTCACTTGTCCTATATATACTATGGAATACTCAAGCTACAATAAGCTACAGTTATCTCTAGAATCCAGTCGTACCTTCTCAAAAGGTACTTGGAGACACTGTTGTGTAGGTTTGGAGGGTCCAAGTACCTTCTGAGAAGGTACTTCCGCCTAGGGTATTATTATATCATTAACTAGTCAAGTCTCACATTAGCTCGAATATATTGTATCATCGAATTACTTCATCCACCACCGCTGGCGTAAGGAAACCTATACTAAGCTGCTAGGACGCAGCACCTCATCTTATCATATCTTCTCCATCTACAAACCCCTTGTCAGTACCTTCCAGGTCATTGGTTGGGTTGTTGGGCCCATTCCCAGGTCTCAACTTCTGACCTGGCAACCTGTCAGGTCTGGTTCGCTCCTTTAGAAGACCATCCGGGCACCAAGTCTCATCAGGGAAAGCGCTGCACTCTCTCTCTCTCTCTCTTTCGCCCCGGCACTGCACTGCCAGGTGAAGTGGGCTGTTCTCCTGGCGGGACCGTTCTCGCATCAAACCGTCGGATGCCCGATGTGACGTACTCCTAGCGTCGGCTCGAACGGCGAGGGCTCAATGACGAAGGGAGAGCCCCCTGGGACGCCCGTGCCCGACCCCACAGTGAAAGACGTGCCCGCCACCACCATAGGGCCAGACGGAGCACATGGTGTCTCGAATTACATCAACAGCCACAAACAGCCACAAACCCACAAAACCATCATCCACAAAAACCACACACTGAAACTCCAGGGTCTCCACCTGAACCACTGTCAACACTTCCCTGGTGGACTCACCTGGTCTCCGCCGTCTCTTTCTCCGTCTCCTCCTGGTCTCGAGCTTCCAGGTTTGCCCGGTTCGTCAACAAGAGCCTCGACGTCGCGGCGCGGCGCTTCGTGATCCAGGAGGGGAGTCCGAGATCGGTTCCCTTCACAGGCCGGGAGGATGCGGGGGGATGCGGATGATGGGAGGAGACCCTGTGGAAGGAAGCCTGAAGAACGGCAGGTCGATACGAGGTAGAAGGATCATGATATATAGTCAGGTCTTGGAAAAGGCCATCAACTTCAGCAAAGGAATCAAGATCACCGGGCTCTAACTGTCACAAAGGGACGGGCTGTCAGAAAATAGAACATATGCAGGTAGAGGGGTGCAGGTGTCGACATGTTTTTCCAACAGTGGCGGTAATTTCCGTGTTTTTTGACACACCGGGTCCAGAATATGTATGACAGGTGGGGGGACAGCAAGACTAGAATTGTATGCATAGGGAAGGGAACACACCAACCCATGCACAGCCAAATGTATGAAAGGGGGCGGGGACATTCATAATCACAATATCATCATATATGATCAAATACCCGACCTAGGCCTCCAAGTACCTTCTGAGAAACTTCCATGATTGTTGGATATCGTTGGAGGGAGGGTACGTTTACGTACCATGACGTACCTACATCTACATCGACGCGGGTGATGAATCACTCTTAACTTCTCCCATTCACTCCGTGCATCGTCCCACATTGATTCGTGTCGCCTTTCGCCCAGCGCAGCCCCCAACCAAAAAACATGGCCAGCAGTCACAAAGGGGTGCGATCCATGGAGGTAGTCGGGGTGCCCATGAACTCACTGGATTCGATGAAACACCACCCTTTTGTGACTCCTGGTGCTCGCTTCTTCGGTGGCCGAAATCGAATGCAACGAGCGCAACGAGCACGAACACAAATACAACCCTTAATTGCCAACTGCCTCACTCAAGGGGAGGGCTTCCATGACTCCATGACAAACACCCTGATGCACCCAGCTCATGAGGTACTGACCATCCGATGCTCGCTGCACGGGGCATGGAGCCCCGATCTGGAGATGGGTCACAACCCCCTTTGGACCTGGTGCATCGAATGGTCTAATTAGGAAACCACTCAGGTCTATCTATAGCTGCAGGCTGTGTTGTTGACCTTTTGATTGTCTGCCTGGCCAGCACTATACACACTATAGTCTTGTCTTATATCATGCACTTTTTGCATTTATCCGTGTCTTTTTAGCATTTGTCAGGTTCTGAAACTGCACATCAACAGCAGCGAGCTTCGGCAGATGCACCGCCCGAAACGGCATTGTCCTCTACTGGTGTCCATTCGGTTGAGGAATTGGTTCCCCCCCACCCGGTACAGTTGACCACACATCAAGTTCAGCTTTCTTGATCACTTGACTTGGTTTCTTGAGCTTTGTTATCACTTTCCGGTAAAAGCTTGCCAAATCGGTGAAGCAAAAGCCACATTGGATCACATTGACATCATGGAAGCGATCTGGGTCCGACACCTTAGCCTCGTGTCAGTCACTGGGGAATAGACACTCCCGCAAACCCACATCCCGAAAATGTCGCCACATACCGCACATACCCACGCATGCGTCCAATAAAAGCGAAGATCACTTCCAGCTTCATCCGACTTCATCCCATGGAACACATGTATTCGGAACCCACGGAATTCATGCAGTTCCAGTCGTGCCAAACCGCTGTTCCAAACCCTTCGGATCACCGTTCTGTCCAAGTCACTCGACAAGTTCACACAGCACCTGCCGCTGCACCGCGCGCAGCAGCACCGAGCCTGGCATGTTTGGCATGTTTGGGTCGAAGAATGCTTTTTGAGGTGGAAAGGTTGGAGGATGTTTTTTGATTTTGTAAGTTTCGCAGACGTTATACAATTTAAATCTATTTATATAAAATAATAATTGATCATTTGATCATTCTTTTTGTGGGGCTCTTTCGTCATGTTCCATCATTTATCAACGTTTTGGGATCCCATCACCTTATCTTTTGTCCACCCCATTTCTGCTCCGGTCCACCCCTTTCAGCTCCACCTGACTGTGACAGAAAGACCCAGCGACGCCACCCCAAAAAGACCGCTGTTATCAACCACCCCCAGTGATCAAATTGGTAAATCCTAAATATCAGAAGACAGCAGGTACCAGAGGCTGAAGAACCCTCTAGACTCTAGTTCGACTCTCCCATACAGCAGGTACCCCAGGCGGGCCTCCCGGGTCCCTTGTTCAGGTCACTTGGCAGCTCGCCCTCCATTCTCCTGGCCTCCTTCAGCCACAGGACCAGCACTGGTGAAATCTACCGAGGCGTTGGCGTCCAAGAGCAGCTGCATCGCCTGCATGTTGCCTCGAGGCTTTTGGGGGGGAGTCAGAAGGAACGGCGGAACGAAGGAACGTCCAAGGAACGAAGCCTCTAAGAACTTCTGGGCTAAGTGGACGCACGTTGGCTTTTCCCTTAGTGAAGAAGAGTACCCCCACTCCGGCCCACTCCCCAAGACCGGTGCAGTCCGGTCTCCGGTCTCCGTCGCGCCTGCGTTGACCGCCAACATGAGTGGAGTCTCTCCCGTGGCATTCACCAAGTTCGGCGAAGCCTGGGCCTCCAGCATCACCTGGGGCCCAGTCGGTGGGAGTTCGGGCCCCGGTTTCTGGGGCTGCAAGGTGAGTGCACTCCTTTCGGGGGGGAAGCCCAAAGTGCTCAAAGGTGGAAATGCTGTTGAGAAGTCCGCGTGCTCCACTGTTCTGGCCCTTGTTGGTAATTGGTAAAGAATGCCTCTGCAAAGAAGGGAAGCTCCAAGCAACTCTGTGGAGACCACCAGATTCATTGACATGAAAAACAAGAACGTGCACCAGGAGTCACAAAGGAGTTGCATTTAGTCCCTAAGTGAGTGAATAATGGGCACCCCAAACCTCCATGGATCGCACCCCTTTGTGACTGCTGGCACAAGCTTCGGTCTTTCTCCTTTCTCAGGCTTAAGGGCTGCGGCAAGCCAGGCGTCGCACAAACCAAATGGCAAACTTCCCAGTGGCTCTCACCCCTGTCACCGATCACGGGGCGGTGGAGCGGGAAAGCGCCGCCGCGCCGCCCTCTCGAGCTTGGTAGGCTCGGCTTCGAAAACAGCCACCCGGTCGCTGCCAGGTGATGCCAGGTGCCGTGCGCCTCACATCCATCATGAGACCTGTTGTCTTTCCTCATCGGTGCCGGGCACGCAGCCCGGCGCGCCCCGCCGTCCCAGCGGATTCTTGGATTTGGACGAGCGGATTCTTGGGGCAGAAGGACCGGCGGACGTCCGGGCGGAAGCCCGACACGTGGAACCACACCTTGTGCCCCGGATAGTCTTCGTTGGGGAAGCGCTTGAAGGCGGCTTCATCCGCAATGGCCCGGCCGGAGCCCGGCAGGCGACAAAACATCTGTCTGTGCACTCGGGGTTGAATGTTTGGGTCACGCAAAGACCTCTCCTCGCTTGAACAATGGGACTGGCCGTAGAATTGAGTTAAGACATGTTAAGACTTCCTGGCCCTAGACTCCATTTAAAACATCTACCCAAAGCAGGGCACCAAAAGGTCTCTAAAAGCCTCGCTGAGTCTCTGTAAACTTGAGTGCTGCTGACCGAATCTTCTCCCAGTCAGTGGGTTTGACCAGCTTACGCAAGCTGGGCATGGTCGATTGCAAGGCAGAAGGAAGGTCGTTCGGCCGCTCATCACGTTGAAACCCCAAATGCACCTCGAGGACATCCAGCAGCTCTGAATCGACATCCAGGAGCAAAGTCATCTCCTTCAATTCCGTACAAAAGGCCTCCTCCTGCGACCTTCCAGTGCTTCCCGACATGGAGTTGGAGTCTGCCCGCGACTTGCGCAACCCATGACTGCCTGGATTGGTATGCAAAAGCACCGATGGCACGGCATCTTCCCCAGCTTCAGGTTGTGGCCGAGACTCAGGATCCTCTTTGAATGCGATGAGATGGTAGGGTTCATCGGCACCAAACAGGCCTGCCCGCCGACCGGAGGCAAAAAACATCTCCTCTACGCACAGACGCACTCCTTGCACTGAATTCATGGATGTGACGTGGAGTTCATGGAGTTCATGGACCTGTTTGGTTTTGAGGAACTCATCGTCTTCCTTTTTGCAGCCATGTTCATCAATGTTCCACGTCCATCTTCTATGATGACTTATAGGGAGCGTACCAAGCAAGGAAAATCACACAGTTTCTCCTCCCCGAGACCGGAACCTTCCATTTATCGGACCCAGTTTCTTCAGGATCCGTGCCACTTCCTGGCCCCTTCTCAAGCCGGGAAGAGTCGTTTTTGACATCCAAACCTTTAGACCCCCAAAAACTGGAGCGCCACCTTGATCGGACCAACATCTCTGCCTCAGTTGACCGGCCCACAGGAAGACCCCGTCGCGCTCCCAGAAGGCTTCAGGAGTTCCGCCAAATCCGCCAAAGCCCTCCCCTCAGCCCTCTTCAGTTAACTGAATGATAGTGAATACGTGTCTTCTTTGAGTCCTGCAAGATCTGCAATCAACACATTGGTGTCTTCGACCAGGAGGAGGACATAAAATGCAACATCCTGAACAAATCGACCCCAAATACATTGGTTGATATTGGTTTTGGGAACTGAAGATGACGGCCACTACACTCACTACACATGGGATGTGTACTTCTTAACTTTCGAGTTGATCGCTGCGCCTGGAACAGGCACGTGGAAAATATCCGTCGCAACGCGAATGCCAGCAGAGCCACGAAAAGACACCCGCAGGCACAAGGGAGTTGTGCCTTTAGTCTCTGGGGCGTGATTAGCTTCCTGGGATTTGCATCAGGTCACAAATGACACAAACCTGCTAGAACTTGATGAGATGAAAGGCTTGCATGAGTTTGATGACTCTAGACGTCTAGACGTTGAGACTCATGTGGTCTTGATTCCCATGAGTCTAATAGATTCTGCTAGTCTTAATGGACTAGGCCTTCACTAACGTCCCTCTTGTCACAGCTGTGGGATGCTGTGGGTAAGGATTACCACAAAAAAGGGGGTGCTCGGCAGTCCAACTGAACATCAAAAAAAGGACATGTCAGCCCGCATTTGTTCAATTCCTGCGGCCCAGCATCAATCGAGGCCTCCACAAATTCGCGAAAGCGAGTAAGCTGCTCATCATCGAGAAGTAGATGTTCAAAGGAACGGCCCTGAAGACTTACATCAGTGAGAATGAGATGTTTTAAACACTGGCTCTCCTGAGCCACATTCATCTGGCTGTCCAAGAGCACCTCGCCATCACAAACACCTATTCAGGCACCGCAATGCCGTCCCAAATGCAAAACAGAAGGCGATGTGAAAAAACCTTCGTAGAGGAGGGGGCCCCTTGTTGAAACCTCCAAAGCAACGCGTGGATGACCATATACAGTAGCTAGTCGAGACAAACTGAAGCCCAATTATCCTGCAAATTTTGCTGTCTCATAGTCTATATAGATGCTCTACAGGCCTATTGCCCAGCTTAGAATGCTTCGGGGTTCAATGTATGATACTAATGCTAATGCTAATGATTGTTTTATTAAGTGTAGATTATTGTAGATATATACAGTACCACACCTGTCATCTGGGTCGTGTTGATGAACGCCCCTCAATTGTAGTCCCACCTTGCAGGAGTCTCCGGAAGCTGCCAAGCAAGGACTCTGCATCCGCAGTGTCCAGCTGTGCATAGATGCGCCCACGAAGTCCCATATCGATGAAGACTGATGAGGCGATGGTTTCCACCAAAATAAAGAGTTGCCCTGAGCTAAAGGATCCCAGTTGCACCCAGAAATCGCCATCCTCCATCACACAAACATGTAGAAGCACCTCGACGAGAGTGTACAGCACTTGGAAAGGAATTGTGATTTTGGGATCCAAGAGTGCCAGCACCAGGCAGAAGCGTACTGCAGAGTGAAATCCTTGCATCGTAGATCGCAGCCAAGCGCCAGACCAAGCCGTAGAGACAAAGGATGCCACCGCAGCTAGATGCAAGAAGTAGGTGATGAACTTGAGCCGATGCCTCAAGCCACACCCACTGCTCCACGCGCAACCATGACTGAGAGTGGTTCCCCCCACATGCTGGGGTACTCTTGTCATCCATGAACCATTCAAGACCCACACGACACCACTTCACAAACATCCAACCTAAAGGGCAACTTGCAAGGAGTACTTAGGCATCAACCCCCCTGCCACCAATGAACTCCTCAAAACCTCAGACTGGCTGCTTGCTTTAAACCATGCCTGCTCGAATCACCCAATCTGTGAGGACCAATCCCTTAATTCTATTTACATACTTCAACACTCCGACATCATCCTTGAGGCTCCAGCACCCAAAGAGGCTCCCCCAACAACGGCCAGAAAAAGGACTGGTAAACTGATGCAGGGGAGGTTGCTCAGAGCCGCTTGCCCAAACACTCTACGTATGTTTATTTCGATATATATGCATATACCAGCACCTTCCAACAGGTCTCCTTTGGAGGGTTGTTAGGCCTTAACAGGTTTCAATTGGTGACCTGTGAAGTCGGTGCTGGTATATGTACAGTGTGTTGTATCAAGCACATGTTAACAAGTTTTCCCCACGCGCGACGCCCGGCACGGAGCGGCTGCTGGTGCAAACCCTCACCCAGCCCCACACCTTCTCCGTCCACACACCCCACCCCACATGTTCCTTAGCGTTCAAATTTTTGGTTTTCAAAGGATATTGTTCTGCTTGATGATCTTGTGGTCTTTTGGAAATGTGTTATTTATATATGTTTCATATGTTATGCATGTTTGTGTGTCAACGCAGCTGGTGTCTTTAGCGAAGAAAACAGACCTATACACGTAAGTGGCTCATGGAGTTGCCAAAACCTAAACACAAACGGCTAACAACGTTTCCTTCAAGTGTTTTGATACAAAAGGGTGCGGCGCATGGAACCTCAAAGTTTTTAAAGCACGACTGCCAACAATGTGTGGTTTTATGTTTTGAAGTGGTCTTTTATATAAGGGGGCGGCTCATGGAGCCGCCAAAATCTCTATGGACACAAAGAACGCCAACGACTTTTTCCACAAGTGCTCTGTTATGTAAGAGGGCGGCTCATGGAGCTGCCAATCTCACTTATGGTTCATGTAGTTTGCGTATTCTAGTTTTTCCGTTCGTCTTGGTTGTATTTTCCTTGAATGGTTCAGGTTCATGTTGGACCTGGTTGCCAAAAGCGTTTTTGGAGCTCGAGATGAAGAAGATTAGTGAACAAAGTTTTGTGAAAATGTTCAATCTCGCAAAAATATAGGAATGTAAAACTATTTACACTTCATTTGTCAGTTATACATGTAAAAGTCATTTGTGCGGGTTATATGATGTTATATGTGTATAACTCCAAAACTTTTGAATATACACATTCCTCTACATTCTTATACATTTTGTTACATTCGCATGTCTTCTCGTGTCTGTGCGCTGATCCTATCATGTATGTTTTTTTTTTTCCATGTTAGGATGCGGCCCATTGGGCCGCACAGTAATCAAACATGTTTGTTCAACCTTTTGAGACACTTGGGATACACTCGGTTTTGTGGCCCATTGAGCCGCCTTTACATTGAATATAATGTGGCTATAGCCCATTGTTGCATTTGTTTCAATATATAATTATGTGTATTTGTATTGAGGCTTTCGAGTTGGGGCAGTTTAGATATATCAGGCGAACCCACACGCCACCCATGGCAGATGCTCCTGAAGCATTGCAAATTTCCACTCATTAATAGTAACAAAATATAACACAATAGTTATATCTTCAGTCTAGCGGCTCAGTGAGCCGCCATCTCCGAAGTACACTGTGAAAACATATTTTGTAAGTACACTGTGAAGTCTACAGTACACTGTGAAGACTGTTTGGACAGCGGAAAATGCCCATGAAAGCCTATGACACCCTTCATCACTGGGACAGGCTGCGGAGTCAGCTCCAGAAAGTCCTGTGCGACCGCGGTGAAGAGCAAGTAGCCCACTACGCAACAAGTTGCCCAAGTGGCTGAGTCCAGCCCAGGGGTTGCCCAGGCTTGGTAAAGCATAAGAACGGACAATGCAAAATCCAAATGAGAAAAGCAACGGCTGAATAACTTGAAATTCCTCTTGCGAAACTTGGTCATCTCTTCCTGGCAAGGTTTCCGAAGAACAAACAACTTTGCGAAGCAAAACGGTGCTGGCGTGCGAAACCTGAGACTTCGGAACCTTCTGAGTTCCAGGTGGACCTTCTGTGGGGTGAGAATGCTCTCAATCAGTCCCACGAGGCAACTGACACCGGGACCCGCGAGGTGGCGCTTCCAGATGCCGGTCTCACATCGGAGACAGGAACCTAGCTGCAAAACCCCAAAAGAAGCTATACAGTACCCAGAGACTCCACGTATGCCATATTTGCCTACATTGACCCCCAAAACCACCCCAATGTAGGCATATATGGCATACGTGGAGCGTCTGGGGTATATCTCTTTGTTTTCAAGTTTTTCGCACGCCTCGACCCTGGCTTCTTTCATCGCGAGCACCGAGCATTGAGCTCTCTCCAAGGCCTCTGCTCTCTCTAGCCACTTCTGACGGATCCAACGGTGCAAGTCCAGCAAGTCATTCCAGGTCAGGCCCAGATGCAGCGGCGTAAGAAGCAACGTCCCCAGCAGCCACAAAACGTTCATGGGAAGAGGGGGACAAACGGCGTCAACGCATGTTAGGCACAATGTAAGAACATACATGATGGTCATTAATCTTGTTGTTGTGGTTCTGTTTCTTCTTGCTGTTGCTGTTGCTGTTGCTGCTGTTGTTGTTGCAGCTCCGGGCCTCCAAGTGGTCGTGCACCCCAAGTGGACGGACCCACGACGCCCGGGGCGTTCCTGCAATGAAGATGTCTATGATGTCGTCGTCTGTCGTTTCTCAGTGACATCGGAGAATCCTTGAAACTCCCCCGGTGTGGAAAAGACTCTGAGGGAGGGAGGTTGAACACCCCACGTCCCACCGGCCATCCCACCAAACGTCGAGCCACGCGGATCATCAAATTCTGCCAGTCCAAGACCGCCAGGTGCAAAGCTGAGTTCCCCAACGCATCCTGCCCCGCGACCAGAACACGAATAGAAACAACCGAAGGGGCCGTAAGGGGAAGAGTCCATGATATAAAATTATTTAGTAGGCCCCCCCCTCAAACCCCCTAGAATAATTAACTAAATAATCCAACATAGTCGGATTGGTTCCCTCCAACCTTTGCGGAACGTGCCCATCGGTGCTCATGAATGCACGGACTTCAGGCCAAAGAACGGGGTGCGAGGCGAGCCAAAGAACACCACGGTTGGTCGAATTGGTGCGTGGAAGACCGAGACCCATGGGTTGGTCAATGGTCCAGTTCCTGAAAACCCGGAGGTCGATAGGGAGCTCGCCCCAATCGAATTACACAGCTGGATACCTTCTTTCTGCACTGCTGGGAGTTGCCTTGCTTGGAGTTGACATTGGTGTCTGACTTAAAGGGAACTGCTTTCATATTATCACCAAAGAACGCGAGAAGTACGGCTTTGACCCAAACAAACCCATAGGTACCTCCGTGCTGAGATGTGGGTCGGAAAGCTCAAATCTAAGAAACATGCAAACAATCAATTCTGTATAGACTCTTGCTCTTGCTTAATAACCTCCTCATTTGGATTGCAAGAACCTCTTCATATGGGGAGTTGAAATACAATGAAGAGTCTGCATTACCCCAAAGATTCACCAAGTGATGTAGATAAAACAGGATAACAACCCCAGACTTGGTTTCAGGGCCAGCAATTCTGTCAGCAAAACGCACCGTGATGCGTTGAGAATGTCCCAACAAAGCTTTTGGGGTAGCGTTAACTTCTCTGCTTGGATATTACATGACCACCGTTGACTTGGCCAACAAGGAATAAACATGAATAAACCCATATATGTGCCAAATCGACTCCTCAACTTCAGGGATGTCCCCCTGATCCAACATCACCTGAACTCCAAATTTGCCTTACCGCCTTGCCTGCATCATCTCTGCAACACAAATTCATTGTGACAGCCCAGAACGGAAGTGGCCTTCATGTCGGATCCAGCCAATAGGTTCTATTCAGACCCCCGCTCGATTTGTTCACCAGTACTGTAGGGGTCTGGTGTATATGGTATCTTAAGATCCGAGCCGAGCCCATCCAGCTCGGCCTGGCCATCCAGCTCGGCGCCATGATTGATGAGCATCCTGCCGGCTCCGCAGACCGGACCGGTGGCCGGCTCCGCGGACCGGTTGCTCCGCTCGTGAGACCGAGGTGTCCGCGGCAGAGGTGGGGAGGTGTCCACCCATTCACCGGGAGGTTCGAACCGAGCCATGTTCCTACCTGGAGCTTCAAAGGGGAGATCCCTAGGTAGTGTAGGGGCTTCCATTGGTGACCCCTTCGAAGGTGCTGGTAGATGATCGCCTGGAAAAGCTGCTACTTGTCCAAGAACATGTCGTTGAGGGAACATCTGGAACGTGTGCACGTGAAGGCACATGTCAAGGGCATGGCACAACAAATTCCGAAGGAAACAGATGCCAACCATCCAACCATCCAACCATCCGAGCCCAGTCTGATCAGGACCCCCGGTGCCGACCCTTGAGAGATACCGGTCTAAGACCCTGCTTCTCGCCTGCACAAGCCCACGACCCCTTGGGTGGCGGCCAAGTGAAGCGCCGTCCGCTGCTGCTTATCTCGGTGACCTCGACTCGACCGCGACGCCAGCGCCGCGACGCGAGGCCGCCGAGCGCAGATCGGCGGGACGTCGCTGCGTGGACGGACGCGTCCGTCCGGACGGGGACCGTTGTGGAGGTTCGACGGTGGGACCGTCCCTGTGACCTCATCGAGTCACTTGGATTGACCCAGTGACTCCTGGAATGTCGAGGACGGTCACGGCGATAAGGTGGTGGACGGCCCGGTGAAAACCACGTGGACGGCCCTTCTATAGAGGTCTGAGCACATGAGCAAAGGAACGAACACCTCAACTGTACGACTGTGTGTGCAAAACACAATATGTTATTTAGCATTATTTAATACAACAAAACGCACAACCGATAAAGACAGCCTTGGGGAAGTCCCAGGGTGGTCTTCTGATTCTGGGTATGTTAGTCTGCTAAGGTGATGCATTCCAAACAGGTCTTGGGCGGCCCAATGCGACTGCTGTGGGAAGAGTCGTGAATATTGGAGTCGAGGTTTACCCAAATAAAGAAAAAGAAACCTAAGCAGAAACATGCAGAACCCATTAGGCACCAACGCAAATGCATTCAAATGCCCTCGGTCATCACATGTTGTTATGTTACATTATTTCGTTTGGACCACTTTAGGAGCAAATCAATTGAACACCACTTATCAACCAAGGTAACCTGAGAAGGGGGAAAGCAAAAGCCAGTGAAAACCCGCATGCAGGTCCTGGTCGTACCACTTACTTGTCGAAAAGGCTTTGCAAACAGGTGTCCACACAAGGCTGCTTTTGGACGATGTTCAAAAAGCTTTCTGGACACCTTCTTCAACGCATGGATGTAGACTAAGACTAAGTTTCTCACGGTTTATGCAGGTCTGCAGGTTCTGATTGCATCGCTAATGAAAAACACATTGCATTCAACCTGCATCCTCCACTCATTCCAAGGGCCTCCAGCTGCACCCCAAAAAGATCCAAAAACACGGTCCGTTGGCAACTCACTTCGTTCGCAGCAACTCAGTTCGTTCGCAGCAACTCACTTTGTTCGCAACTCACCTACCATGAAGGCTAAATGGAGGGTGTATGGAGAAAGGGGGTCAGCAAAAATCGCTTATACGAAGTTAGTGCATCAAAAATACCTTCCACAAAGTTCTGCGAAGGTTTCTGGGATTTCGTTGCAGTCAGTTCTCCTACTGGCCCACCATTCCACGAACTGTCCACGAATAGCCTTGGGTTCTACGAATGTCCCGCGCCTTCCAGGATTCCACGATGTTAGTAGAATAGGTTTTTGCAAAACCCTTTCTGTGCACTACCCTTCCGTTTGCCTCTGATACCAGCTGCCACCCTTGTCATTCACTCGTTTTTTTCTGGAGCACAGATCTTGTGGAGCGAGGCAAATACTGGACAAACACATTTAGGATGCCAAAGACCAAAGACACAACATAAACGTGGTTTTTCGTGGTTGCTGCTATAGAATTTCTATATAGAGTCTATAGACATATAGACTACAGGCATGTGACACACTTGGCTGTTTAGTAGAGAAAAGTATTCTTGAAGGTCTTCTCCCTGAATGCAAATGGCATATCCCACATTGAGCTCAGTCGAGGCTCGAACGGGATATTAGTTGCACCACCTGTCTGTCTCACTTTTATATTATAGTATATCAATATCTCCTTTATCTCTCCAGCATGGTCTTGTACATTTGGGGTCTTTTGTTGTTCTTTTTGTCTATATTTCATCCTGTTTCTATTCTCATTGTCACCTGACTAAGTCATAGCCCGCTCAGTACGCTTGTTTGGGATATGGCAGGATGGATCTGCACGGTGTGTGTGTGTGTGTAGAGGACATCGGTCTTGGGGGGAGTGTCATGTACATGTGCCAATCTACGGATGCCTCTTCTTTGTGTGACAGCAAATTATCAACTATACATAAATACAACAGCCTGGTGCAACACACATATTTTAAAACATATCCTCTGGACCCCATCTCCGTTTTGTTTCTTCTACCTATTGTGTCAAGGGCGCGATTGACGTCCACCTTGGCCATCAGCAAGCCTTGGGCCTGTGACATGTCACGGACCTCAGGCGCGGTCTGCGACGGATGCGCCGACGGATGCGCCTCCACCCAACTGAGATGCGCTTGAGAGTTTTTCTTAGCGCATGGGGGTGACCTAGCAAGGGGGGTGACCTAGCAAGCGGGGGTAGCCTAGCAAGGGGGGGGGTGACCTAGCAAGGTGAAGTCTATAAAAGGTATCTTTGGGGTCTAAGTAGTGCAAACATGTAGAATGCGAGGCGTATTCGAGCCGTATTTTCCAAGCAAGTGGCGCACCAAAGCCATCAGACCACCCGTTCCAGTGACCAGTTGGGATCCGCTAAGCACCGGCGATTCTGATTCCGCATGGACCTGGTACCGCGTCGAGTATCTCAGATGGACGCCCCAAGGCCAACAGCGGATGGTCTAAGAGCTCCGGTGTCTTGCACCTGTCCTGTCCTAGCATCCGACCTCCATGCTTCCTCTTGGTCTTGCATCTCCCATGTTCCGACGACCGGTCGGGGCAAATCCCAAGATGACCTTGCTACTAGTAGCCAACGCCCCAAGATGGGATCCCACTCGCCATTCCCCGTGCCCGGTCACTGCGCACTCTTCCCGGTCCCTGGCGTCCCCGTCATGTTCCCTCCCTCAGCGGCTGAGGACTTCATTCGAGCGGCCAGAATCGCTTCCAGCAACTGGATGCCTGCATCTGCCGGCATCTCCTCCTCCCGATCCTGGGAGTGGTGCCCAAGAAACACAGCCTTTGACACACTGACCAAAGAGAAACAAACCAGCGCTGGTCCTCCAGTTCACCCAAGCACATTGAGGGCCTAAGCTTGATTGGTGCTAGCTGAAGTCCACGATCTTTCAATACAAGAATCTGGACCCGAACCAATAGTAGACAGTCCAAACCCGTACCCTGCGCGCCAAGTCTCCCAGCAGGTGCGTCCAGGAGCTCGTTGGTTGGGCGCGCGAAGCAACGGCTTGGGCA